CCCCGGGGCCGGAGGGGCAGGGCAGGGCAGGGCAGGGGGCTGGGGCCCAGCCGCTCAGAGCCCGCAGGCTGGGGGCCTTGCTTGGCGCCCGACCGCCCAGGGCTGTGCGACCTCGCGCCCTGGCATGGGGCACGCGTGTACGCCGGGGAGGGCCTGGCGGTGCAGAGCAGTTGCTGGGGGCGTCGCACCCCCCATCCCCCAGTCTCCACCTCCCTGCAGGAGCTCTGGGGGCCTGGGGCTGGGGAGCTGCCGTGGGCTCCGCCCGTGACCTCATTTGGGGACCACGACCCCCTAGACAGGTGGGAGACGCCATGGCGAGCGCCCTGACAGCCCCGGCAGGGAGCTGCGTCTGCAGTGGGGATTATAAATCAGAGCTGGGCTGGCGCTGGCACGGAGCTCCGTTCCCTCTCTAGCGGGCCGCATTGGGTGCAGGGAGCATGGGCGAGTCGGTGCGAGGGGCGCGCTGCTTGGTTGCATCGTGACCCCGCTGGATAAGCATGGGGGCGCTGCGTGCCAGCCCACCCACCGGCAGGTCAGCAAGGGGCTCAGGGCCCACATTCTTTCATTTGTCCCCCCCGTTCCCACGTGCCTGCTGTGCTGGTGGCTGGGGGGCAGGCGGGATGGTGCCAGATGGACCCATGGATGATGGGCTGTCTCCAGTGAGCAGTGAAACGGAGGCAGGTTGGGGGTACCATTGAGGTACACAAGTAGCTGGTGCGGTGCGAATGCCCAGGCAGACGGATGAGATGGACAAAGAGGGCAGAGGGAAGGAAACAGCACAGGGAACCTGGGTCAGTCCCTAGGCAGGGCAGTGCAGGCTCAGACAGAAGTGGGGCACAGAGCATTGATGTGGGTAGTGGGAGTCTGATGTCCTCCACAAGGAGCCTGGCCACTGATGGATGCTCTCCCCTTTCAGCTGGTACCCCCCTGTTTTGTCCTCTGGAAGCCAACAGACTGAATCCTCCCCACGCGACCAAGACGGGGACCAGACAGGTGCTGCGGAGCCACCGATGACATAGACGGAAGAGCAGGACGTGCGGAGACAGAGAGGGTCCCCGCTGCAGTTGCAGCTCCTTGGGAGCCCCTCCTTACCCCGTCCTCCCTGCAGCCCTGTCTGGAGAAGGACGCTGATGCCACACACACCAGCCATGGGATGCACAGCTTTGCCCAGAGGGCTATGCACGCCCTGGGGATAGACTTAGGCGGCATTGCTTGCAGCCAGAGCCAGCTGCCCCCTGAGGGGATGGAGCTCTGATCCTGTCCCAGCAGCCTGGCCTGCAGGAGAGGAAGTGGCCTGCTGGAGTGAGGGGTCCGTGTGGCCTCTTGTGTCTGAGCCAGGGAACCTGTTGGCATCAGGCAGGGAGCGGGGTGCAGGCGGAGCAGCTGGACTTTGATTGCCCCTGTTATGGATTGCTCTGGCCCCACACAGCCCTGCCAAGGGGACAGAGACAGGAGCCTCCTGAGATGCACAGGCTTGGCTGGCTGCTCCGGCCTCTGCAGAGGCCCTCATTACTCATGCTGCTGAAGTCCAGAGCCTGCAGCGGGGCTGCTGGGCTATGGTGAGAGCAGACAGGGCTGGGTGTAACCAGTGGTAGGGAGGGAAGAAGGGAGAGGCAGAAGGAAAAAATGGACGTTCCCAGGGTGGGGGTACTGCATGGCCTCTGAGAGTTTTCCCTTGGCTGGAGACAAGAGTGTGTACGTGTGTGTGAGGGAGAGAGGCCTGGATCATCTTACCCCCTGCTCTAACCAGCTGTGCAAGGTCTTTGTGGGGCCGCAGGATTGGGGAGCAGATGAGGTGCCTGCTTTAACCTGATTCCACGTGCAGCTGAGAGGCTAGACAGTGTCTGTATGCAGCAGCACACCGGTCCCCCATGCCTGCAGCAGCAGCAGCCGTTTCCCCAGGGCCCAGCACATCACAGGAATAATGCTACGGGTTCCTCAGGACACTGTTTTCTGAAGGACTGGGAAGCCAGAGGTTGAGAGTCAATCCAGGCAAGTTTGGAGGTGTCCCCTCCCCCCACTCTCCCCCCAGGTCCTTCAGTAAAGGGCACAGGACCTGGGAAGATGTCCTCTTGCTGAGATCCCCACAGCTGCTCTCCTGACACCCCTGTGGTTTCCCTGGCTCTCTGCTCTGCTGCGCCCTCATCATGTCCCGGCAAAACTCAGGGGCACTGATCTCGGTGAACGGGCTGGGCTTCCCGCCCCAGAACCTGGCCCGCGTGGTGGTGTGGGAATGGTTGAATGAACATGGGCGCTGGCGGCCCTACACGGCTGCTGTCTGCCACCACATCGAGAATGTGCTGAAGGAGGATGCCCGTGGCAGCGTGGTGCTGGGGCAGGTGGATGCCCAGCTGGCCCCCTACATCATCGACTTGCAGTCCATGCACCAGTTCCGCCAGGACACAGGTAGGAAAGAGCTTGGTGAAGGTTGTGTGTTCGGGTTGGGGGTGCCTGAGAGAAGGACCTATGTGTGCTTGGGTGTCTCAGGAGGGGCAGGGGGGCGAAGCTGCGACTGGAGTTGGGTGTCATGGCTTGGCAGGACCGTTGCTGTCTCTGTGTGGGCTTAGCATTCTTGCTGACTTGTTGGCCAAAGACATCCACAAGGATGACCCTGACTTAGGTGTGGTCTCTTGGGGAAATCACCCCCATGCAGGAGCAGAACCCAACTAGGAGACTTCCTCAAACATCCTTCTGCTGGCCTCAGATGTGGAGACAGAATAGCTCACAGGAACACCAGGGGTCCCCTAGTCTGCGCCCAGGGTCTGTAAGGAACATTCACACCTGAGCATGCATTCCCCTCCCCCCATGACACTCGGGCATATACAGAGATGTGGGAGTCCAAAAAACAGACACAACACCCCTCTGTCTGGCTGCCTAGTCACCTGATATGCATCTCTGTCGCTCTTTTGATCTGTCTGTCTCTGCCTGCCACGCACACTTCTGTTGTCTGCTCCACGGTGTAGGCATAGGAACAATTTCTAGGGGGGTAAAAGGGCACTGGGGTTTACTATGTGTCAATTGCTTTGAGGTAATTGCCTGTGTGCACACTCTTACTCTGTGGGACATGTGAACTAACTTGCTGTAACAGCCTTCAAGGAAAGGGGCGGGTTACCATGGTTTAACTTACCCCCGTACTGTGAGGTAACAGCATGCACAAAGGCAGTTACCATGGGCACCTTGCACACAGTGTAGGCCCTGGCCCTTTTAGTGGACGGAAAATTATTGAAATGTCCATGCCTCTAGTCGCATCCCTCATTGTCATATCTGAGCACCCAACAAGTCTCCTTTCCACTGTATAATGGTCTTGCATGATCTCGTTTCCTGTCGTCTTCCTCTGAGGTTACTAGGAGAGGTTTTCCCTGCCTTCCTTTCTCCTGCTTTTCATTTTTCCTTTCCCTTCTTTAGCACTTGGATGGTATTTTGCATCCTCTGAGGCCCTGTGGATGCCAGGTAGGGGCTGGGGTTTGGTGGTAGGACTCCCAGTCCATGGGCATGGGTGAGAATGGGCCCCCAGGGCATGGTGGGGGCTGTCCTGAGCTCTGGCACCGGCTACAGGCATGACCACAGCATGAAATACATGGTGTTCTCACACAGAGGGAAGGCTGAGGTGAAAGAGGTGAGCAGGCTGCCAGCAGCAAGGAGGCAGGTATAGGAAGGATTGGCCATCGGGGTTCAGATCCTTAGCAGGGATGCAGCAAAATCCAGGTCTTACTGAGGGGCAAAGCCCAAAATAAGGGAGACCTCAGGGTCAATGGAGGGAGTTACAATGAGGTGGAATCCGTTCCTTCCATATGGCACGGTCCTGCCCTCTGGCTGGTCATGCATCCTCTAGAGCCAGCCCCGTCCAAAGGAACAGAGATAGGGTTTTACCTCCTGGCTCTGCCACAGACTTTCCCTGTGGTCTGGGGCAAGTCCCTTCCTCACCTCAGTTTCTACCCAGCTCTGTAAGATGCGGGCTGGGCTATACACCCACCAGGAAGGGCCTTTGGGGAGAGGACGGGTGAGATAACCAGGAAGTATCACGTGTCACTGGTTCTGCATCGGGTTACATGCAGAGGAAGTTAGGTCTGGATGAGGGATGTCCCTGTGAATGCCCTGCTTGCTTGTCTGGTGCATCTGCAACTTGCAAATGGCACATGACCTTCTGGGCTGGCAGGGTTTGGGGAGAAGGGTCTGTTGGCATCCAAGGACAGTCTCAGTCCGTGTCTGGCATTGGAGGGTATTAACCAGCATGAAGAGTTGGCATGTAATACAGAGTTGCTCTCATAGACTCTTCTCCACACTCCCAAAACATGCCTTAGTCAATGATACACTTGATTGTCCTCCCCATCCCCAGCTGCATGCAGGCCCCTGGCTACAGGCCCCTCTTTAGGCTGGGTTGGGAACATCCCTTGTCCATGATCCTGTCTCCACCATGGCCAAGACTAGGGTTAAGGATGATGACGTGGGACTCTTTTGGTTCATTTTCTTGGGTTAGTGTTGCATTTAACCTCTTGCACAGAGCTGTGAGTGTCTGCCCTGGCTGGGATGGGGAAATGCTGTAGTGTCTTTGGTTGTTTCATGGCTGCAATCACCCTTTAGAGTAGCTAATTCCTCCCCTTGTTCCCTCCTCCTTCCCATGCCTGTTTGGTTGCTGCTCCCTTGCAGTGTGGACACTCTTCTGCTAACAGCTTCCTGGCCATGACGGTGAGGGTCTGGCCCTATGTCAATGTTGGCACAACACAAGGAGGTGATACTTCCCCTCTATCGGGCGCTGGTCAGACCGCAGTTGGAGTACTGCGTGCAATTCTGGGCGCCGCGTTTCAAGAAGGATGTGGATAACCTGGAGAGAGTCCAGAGAAGGGCCACTCGTATGGTTAAGGGCTTGCAGGCCAAGCCCTACGAGGAGAGACTAGAGAACCTGGACCTTTTCAGCCTCCGCAAGAGAAGGTTGAGAGGCGACCTCGTGGCTGCCTATAAGTTCATCACGGGGGCACAGAAGGGAATTGGTGAGGTTTTATTCACCAAGGCACCCCCGGGGGTTACAAGAAATAATGGCCACAAGCTAGCAGAGAGCAGATGTAGATTGGACATTAGGAAGAACTTCTTCACAGTTCGAGTGGCCAAGGTCTGGAACGGGCTCCCAAGGGAGGTGGTGCTCTCCCCTACCCCCCTGGGGGTCTTCAAGAGGAGGTTAGATAATGCCTATGCAGGGGGTCGGACTCGATGATCTATTGAGGTCCCTTCTGACTCTAACATCTATGAATCTATGAACTAAGCACATCCAGCAGTGTCCCCTGGGAATGTAGGGGAGTGCAGACAGTGTCCAGCGCTCAAGTGGGCATATTCTGTCCAGACCTATCCTGGAAGACCAGTGACCCCATTATTGCTGGATGCTTCCAGAATATGGTTACACCTGATGTACCTGGCTCTTGCTGGAGCGTTTGGGAGCAGGTTGGGTAGAAGCTCATTTGGATGCACCTGTATCTTCAGCGGCACAGCAGGTGCATTCCAGCTGGGTGTGCCAGGAGCAGTCAGCAGCATCCATATGATTACTATACACCACATGCCAGAGCTCTGAGGAAGCTGAAAACACATATGTTACTGTGTCTAGGCACCAACTTCCACTCTTGCATCTTCTTGATTTTTATGTTGTCAGATGTTCTGCAGGATTTTCTGCTCACAGTGTTGGTGCTGCGTGGATCTGCCATGTGCAGTTCATTTGTAGGATGACAGGCATACATAGTGTCTTAACTGCATGGGGTCCCTGTCCACGACTGGCAGATCTAGGCATTTCCACAATACTAATACATAACAAGAGTAACAATAGCATCTTTCTATATTTATATGTTTCATGCACAGCCTGGACACGTTCTAGGCTCTGTACAGGGATCAAAACCACTGTGATGACAAATATCCTTAACTGGCATAGAAATTAATACAGTAAAAGCTGTGTTAACCGGCATTTACTAACCGGAATACTCTATTAGCCAAAATTTCCAATATCCCCCAGTACAAATCCTCACTTTAGCAACTGGAATCTTTGCTGTGTCTGTCTGGCATGCGCATGTGCATCAAGTATTTGCAGTACAAGTATGTCACTGTCTTCCGTATAACTCTCAGATAACCGGAATTTTTAGATAACCAGCACCCCCCTTACCCCACTCATGCCGGATAACAAAGCTTTTACTGTAACTAATTCACTTTGAGATTAGCTGTACTAGAGCTCAAATCTGCTAGTAAGATAACCTAATAAGCCTACTCTCAGCAGCATGCAGCTACCCCAGTTTACAGTTGATCAGTGGGAATACTTATTAAAGCAGCATGTTCTGCACCTGAGGAACTCACTGTCATGAGATAACACTGAAGGCAAGAGCCTGGTAGGATGCAGAGGATGGAGGTATTTGGAGGATTGGGTTCTGATAGAGGCAAGGGGTAAGGGTCTGTTGCCCTCTGGGACTTTCCCTTGCCTGTTTAGCACAGCAGACAACATGCATTATTTGCTTGCACCAGAGAGGCCACCATATGCTTCAGCAGGGGAGATTGAGGTTGGCGATTAGGAGGAACTTCCTCTGCTGCATCTGGCACTGCCCACTGTCTGAGATGGACCAATGTGGTGGTTCAGTCTGGCCACCCCCATGTTACCAGCCCCTTTTATAATAAACCTACTCCAATCAATTGCATGGCAGAGCCAATCACCTGCAAGATCCATCACCCTGATCCTCCCACGCAGCACAGCTCAGCATTGGCCTGCCCTAATCTGACACCCACTCATGAATGGTGGATTGAACCATTCATGAATACACACATCTGACACAAACATACACAGTCTCTAAACTGCACATGAATCGGTACCTAAGGTGGATATGCATGTGTACTGAGTGACCGATTGATGTGGATTCATAAAATAGTGTGACAGGTGCCCACCCAGTGTTCCAAGTGTTCTCGCTGTAAAATTAGCAATGTTAGACTGAAACCCAGTACCACCAATCAATGCTGATTCAGATAGATTCCAGGAGATGGCCCCAAACTGCCAATCATCAGTGAGAAAAAGGTTTGTCTTTAAAAAAAATGCTGATTTGCAGGAATGGAAAAGCTCTGTGGGAACACCCTGCGCCCCACAGTGTGGCTGCCGTATGCTGCCTGCCTGGGACTTGGGCAAACTGCCTGTCAGTACGTGGCTGGCTTGTAGACTGGGCATCTAGTTTCAGCTAATTTGGACTCAGATACAAATATATATCGATAAAATCTGGGGAAGCAGCTTTCTAACGTTTCCAATCCTTGGGAAATTTTTGGTTTCCAACTTTTTGTTCCAAGTCGATATAATAAAAATGGTTAAAAATCTGAGTTTCCTGCATTTGGAATAATTATACATCTCATGTACACCTAGCAAGGAAGGGCAGTCCTGCTGTTAAGGCACTGGGCTG